CTATTCATATTCATTTTTTAAAATATTTAAAATATACACTAAGTATATTATATAATTTACAATTTGCTAATGTTGAAATGGTTGCTGACTATCTCAATATTGTTTGTATGAGTAATCGAAGGAAGTATTTAAAGCTCTGTTTTTTATTTAAATTGTTGAATAATATGGTTAGCTGCCCTGCATTGTTAAGTAGAATTGGTTTTAATGTACATGTGTTTCATACACGTAAACCTGAAATTTTTTATATCCCTTTTTATTGTCGCAACTATTCGCTCCATTCTCCAATGAATAGTATTTTATTGTTGGCTAATAATGTAGGTTCTGAACTTAATTTTACAGGGTCCAAATTTATGAGTTTTAAACGTTACTGTAAGGCTCTTTGTCTGGTTGCCTAATTATTATGTAATGCTTTTTTGGCGTGAATAAACATTATTATTATCAATAAGCACGTCATCCTATTGTTCACATGACGCTGTCGACGGTAATTACAGTTTAATTAAATATACACTGACCGGCAAAAAAGCCGGCCACCCTGAAAAATTTCGCAAACCACTTTAAAAATTGTTAATCGACTTTACTTAAATCTTAATAAATAGTAACTTACTCAAGAAAACATGATAATATCAAAGATCTTGGTATCCTCTTTGACTCTAAGTTTAGTTTTGTCGATCACTTAGAAGATATGGTTTCCAAATGCTTTCGGACGTATGGATTTATTTATAGAAATTATCGTGACTTAAGCGTGTCGACACGTTATAGACTTTATTTTTCGCATTAGTCAGACCAAAAATTGAATATGGTGCCTTGATTAGGTTTCCAATTTATCAAAACCATATTGATCAATGATCATATAAAATCGGTTCAACGCTTGTTCTTAAAATTTATGTCCTTTCTTTTGGATGGGGTCTATCCTTGTCGAGGATATGACCACTCCTTATTACTATTAAGATTTAATTTTTTATCGTTACATAAAAGACGAATTATTATCGCCATTAGATTTTTAGTTTTTTTAGTTAGAAATCAAGTAGACTGTCCTGAAATGCTTGAGCAATTAAATTTTCTTGTACCAAGAATTAATGCACGTCATAATCATATATTTTATTGTACTGCTGACAGAACTAACGTTTTAAGAAAATCTCTAGTTATTATTAATTATTATGTGTACTTGTTTCAATCAAATTTATCACTTATGTGATATAAAATTCGACTCGATTAACAAAATTGTTAGTTGTGTTAAGCAATCATTCTTTGGGTAGATTTTTTTTTCCTTTTTGTTTTACTCTCTTGTATTTGTTAATTTTTAATTTTGTTCAGTTTCCATTTCTACTTTTCCTATAATTGGGTGTAATCCCGTTGGAAAATAAAGATTATTATAATTATTGTTATTATTATTAATAATTTAACTAGTGATCGTTATTTTATTAAATAACCATTGACTGTTGACAAATGATGTATAAATTAGCAAGGAAAAGAAGACAAACAAACGCAGAATTAAATTTAATTTAACAAAATAATAGAAACATACTAAGTACGATATTTTCTTAATTAAAGCAATAAAGGAGGGTGTTGAAAACAGTATTTTTCATCATTTGATTATAAGCATGGCAGTTAATAAACGTTAATTTCTAGAGACGTCTCTCATATTGTCGCTCTGTTTCTGTTATTTTGTTAAATTAAATTTAATTCTGCGTTTATTTGTCCTCTTTTTTTGCTGATTTATACATCATGTGTCAATAGTGAATGGTTCTTTAATAAAATAACGATCACCGAGTGGTCAAATGACGGCAGAAATAAATAGACAGAACCTTTCAATGAGGTTAAAACCTGATAAAAGAAAACCATCAACGCTCCAGGTCTAAAGTACAGTGAAAGCATCAAATTCGCATGATATGTGAATATGTGAGGATAAAATAGTTTCGGTTAGGAAATCTCTAAGAACCCACCTAAAATATCCGTATCTCAGAGGGTCGCACCCGAAAAGGGAAGAAATATTGGATTAATTTTCACAAATCGTTCATAAATTTATTGAAAGAACTCCCTCGTCGACTTAAAAGCTGACACAAGGGCGCGAAAACCGCTTGAAAAGGAGTACATTTGTTAACGCTAAAAATTCTTTCAAACCCTGGTGCTATCTGTTCACAAGAAACGCATCGAAAAGTACTAACAAAATGCTTAAATTAAACACTTAATAGGGCCGAAGTCGAAAAAAAATACATTCCTCCAGCCTTCTTCCGGATTTCTGCTAATTTTTCAAAATCCAGCTTTCTTCAATACATATATAGCATAACCGGAGGCACCTCGAGAATTGACTAAATTTTGTTATAAAACTCTAGGCCCATATATTACATTTCTCGCGACATTAGAGTGTAATAAAAGGGTATGACATACGATTCGTCAGGAATGCGCCTTAGATCGTATTCTGCGATTTTATAAAATCTAATTTCGCTAGGCATAGGAGTTCTTCTTGATCGTTCCGCAGACGGATTTACGCGAGTTCGTAAATTTTTCGACTGGTTCAGCTTGCATCGCCCCGTTCCATGTCATCATCTTTCCTTACGTCAGCTTGCGTGATCTCGGTTTAAAGGCGGCGTTCTTTGTTTAGTTTTTTCTTGGATTTATGTGTCCGAGTTTCGCCTGCTGCTGTCTTAATTTGGTTACGAATTTTAATGAAAAATAATTGGGATTGGCAAATTTTTGTGGATGTGAAATTTGAACATGCGTTTTGGAAAATTAAGATTTGCGAATTTTTTTATTACGTTCTAGGAATTTGTTTTTTATCTTTTTATTGCCATTTTCTCGTGAACTGACTTTATGATGGCCCGTCAGAGTAGCATGGAATGAAATACACCAGGAAGATATTGATAACATCAGTCAGGGAATGTACTCTTCTGTTTCTTCACCAAACCTATGGAAGAAAAAATACAGAACATGGGTGTGAGAAAGAGAACAAAAAGAACTATATATTATACTGTTACGATGATCCGTTACTAAAATCGGCGTGAGTAAAACTCAACAAATTATTTCTTAGTAAATCAAATTTACACGACTAACTACACAGCGATTATATACAAAATAATTCCGGCGCAACTTGACTGGATTCTCTCAACATCCACTGGACTCGACTCGTTCACTGAATAATTCTCGTTCCCGAAGGTGGCCTCTATTTAGACCCATACTCCCCTTCTAGAAGTTCAGTGATCGAGGTCTTTCTGGAATACCCATCGCGATTTCCGTTTCCAGGCTTTTCTTTAGCGTCTGATTCTTTGTTTCCTTTTTTCCCGTTTTCCTAATTCTCTGTTTCTCTGCCTCTCTATTTTTATGTTTTTATTTTGGTAACTAACTTTCATTAAAAAAAGATTATATAGAAAGAAATAAAAATTAATAAGTTTATTATTTTTTCTTTAAATATTTTCATCATTAGTGGTTTTTAGTTCCACTAATTTATTGTTTTCTTCTCATTTCCTCCGTTTCTAAATTTTAGCTTTGTGTCCTTACGTGGAATGTGTGATTTTTTATTTTTTTCTGTTCTATACGGCAAAATGTATCTGATTTTTAAATGAAAACTTGAAACTTCACTCTAACTCAATTGTCTATTCCTGACTTCATTTTCTGAGAGTGGAAACTTGCGTTATCCATTGCAATAAAACTTTTGTGTGGTATGTTGGAATAAGTCGCAAAATTTATCCCTTTCTCTGTCTCTTTGTTCTCTTCCTCTTTCTCTGTTTTACTGTTTCTCTGGTTCCGTATTTCCTTTTTTCCTGTGTTCCTAATTCTCTGTTTATCTGTCTCTCTATTTCTGTGTTTGTATTCTGGAACCTAACCTTCATTAAAAAGATATAAAAAGGAATAAAAATTACAAAGTTTTATTATTTTTTTTATATTTTAAGGGCAATTTAGTTTTAAATTAGTAGTTAATTTGTTTTTTTTATTTCTTCGATTTCTAAAGTTTAGCCTTGTGTTGTTACATGGAATGACTGATATTTGATCTGATTTGTTGTATTCATCAAAATGTACCTCATTTTTAAATAAAAATCTTGTAACTTCACTTTATTACTGACTTTTTTTCTGAAATTGAAAACTAGCGTTGTCCATTACAATAAAACTGCTGTGTGATATTTTGGCATCAATCCCAAAATTTCTCGCTTTCTCTGCCTCTCTGTGTCTCTCTTTCTCTATCTCTGTCACTCTTCTTCTCTCCCTCTTTCTAACTTTCATTGCTTCTCTAATTACTTGTTTCCCTTTTTTCCCGTTTTCCTAATTCTTTTTCATAGATTTTAGTTCCATTAATTTATTGTTTTCTTCTCATTTCCTCAGTTTCTAAATTTTAGGTTTGTGTCCTTACGTAGAATATATGATTTTTTATTTTTTCGGCCTCCATCACCGACTATAAATCACCCATTATCACCGCACATACTAGAAAACCTGTAGGCGTCGCACCGCGGTGGTAAACACGAAATAGTACAAATCAAAAAGAAGAAAGTAAAAGGGAGACCTCGAAGAAGATGGAGAAAGGCAATGATACAAGATATTAAGGGCAGATAAATAATTAACTGAAAATAAAGTCAAAGACAAGAAGTCATGGAATGATCTTATCGGGCTATAGGCCTACAAGACCTGATAGACAGCCTATATATTTTGAAGATAAATTATTAAACAAGTCATAAAATACATAGTTCAAAATCGTAGAAAGCAATTAAAAGCATAAGTAAATTACAAATACAACAAATTTTAGAGTTATTATTTCAAGTTAATCTAGGGTCAATAATATCAACAGAGGGAACCAAAGGAACTAAAAATCAGGTAGTTTTAATTGAACTGAATTAATCCAATTTTTGCGGCTAAGAGTACTCGACAACCTTGAGAGACACCAATTAATTCCAAATAATCCAAAAGAAATTTTGTAAATTAATAATTTTATGAGGAATGAATTAATAATTAAGTGTCACTTCTATAAAACAACGTGAACCAGGTTAGAAACATAACACGAATTAAAACTGGAATGAATTTAAACGTACATTTATTTTTACAATATTGACTAATGATAAAAAGTTATTTTTTACTTAAACCAACATCGCATTTTAAAAACTAATTCATGTAGTTATTTTATTTTTCCACAGGCATGAACTGAAACTTGTGTGTTGCCACTATTGTTGCACAGCGTCGCTTACATTCTTGAATTAAGTCTTTTACTTTATTTTCGTCATTCATTTCCAACAAATCTGCGGACGTTCGTGTGCTGCTACAAAAATCATAAATTTCTTTGTACTCATCAGTTAGTTTCTGTTCCTCTAAATTGTAGAGAACACGTACACAATAGTTTATCAAATAGCTTTTAGACATGGCGAATTTAGTGAATCTTTCATCATTTAATTTGTTTTCAGCAGCAGCTAGCAGAGTATTTTCAACTTCGCTGTCACTTTTACTACTTCTGATGTACTCAATTTTCAATTCTTTGATATTATTGGAGAATTTTTCTTCAGCTTTTGCGGTTAAAATTCCATTCACATCAACAGTCAACGTAAAAATAACTTCTCGTTGTCCAGGTGGTGCGGGAGCTAAGTTATTTAACAAAAATGTGCCCAATTGCCGATTTTTTCGGGCATCTGAACGCTCTCCTTCGTATACATCAAACCTCATCTCACTCTGATTATTCACTACAGTAAAGTAAGTATACGATTCGCTTACAGGCAATCTTGAACCTCTTTTAATAAGAAAAATCATTTTATTACCCAAACTGTCTGAACCAATAGAAAGAGGCACAACGTCGGTCAGTTTCAGTTTTTCAATGTTTTGTTTTCTGCTAGTTGATAACATGGCTGCTTGTAACGCAGCCCCCTCAGCGACGTATTCGTCGGGATTTCCGAATTTGTTCAACTGTTTTCCATCAAAATATTTAGAAATCATCTCTTGGATTTTAGGAATGCGTGTTGAGCCTCCACACAGAATAACTTCTTGAATTGATTTTTTAGAAAGTTTAGAATCCTTCAAGCAATTGTGGAGTATGTCAATAGTTTTCTTGAACAAATTATCGGCCATGTCTTCAAACTGCTTTCTGGTTATGGAGATCATTATTTTAGGATGTTGAGGAACCATTCCGTTGATAGTTATAATAGACTCGTCAGCATCTGACAGTGCTTTTTTTGCTTCTTCGCATTTAAGACTCAGCCTTCTTTTATCGTCCGAATCCCACTGTGGGTCGTAATCGTATTTGTCCCTCAGGTGCTGATAAACGTAATCTAAAATGCAGTTATCCAAATCATGTCCCCCCAGTCGAGTGTCTCCAGCTACCGAAATCACTTCGACGTTGTCGAAGAGCTTTTCAAGTATAGCAACATCAAAAGTCCCACCACCAAAATCGTAAACTAAAGAACGATGTGTTTCCTCAATATCTTGATCGTAATAATATGCTAAAGCAGCAGCTGTTGGTTCATTTAAAAGCTTCAGCACAGTGAACCCGGCGTCTTGAGCCGCCGCCAAAGTTACTTCTCTTTGTGTGACATTAAAGTACGCTGGTACGGTAATGACAACCTTATTGATAGTTTCACTTAGTTTTGCTTCCGCATATTTTTTCAGTTCCTTAAGTAGGACTGTGTACAGTTCTTGGGGCGTCTTTTTCACAGTAACATTCTTCTGTTCGAAAGAAACCATAGGGTTATTGGAACAGTCTGCTGAAACGGTGAAAGGAAAATAACCCAAACTTTTCTGAAGTTGAACGTCATCGAATTTTCTTCCTACTAAGCGTTTCATTTCTATAAATTCAATGACGTTATTGCTAGTCTTTTGACAGAATTTTACGTTTTACCATAAATCCCATTTTTGGGTTCCTGCACTGCCATTTTCTTTGCATGTTCTCCGATGACAACGCCGCCATTCGGGGGAAAATAGATGAAAGATGGTATAATTCGTCCTCCTGATTTATATTCTAGAATTTTTAACTTGTTGTTCATAAAAACGTAGATGCATGAATTCGTTGTACCCAAATCGATCCCAATTACAAGATCGTCCATGTTGACAAGCTATAAAAGTAAAAAACGTTATAGACTTAAGTGGAATTGTACTACGGTAATGACTTATAATATTATGTACTTAAATATATAAATTAATTATAATTAAAAGGGTTCCACCAAAAATTACCAGGACTACCTAAAAAAGAAACGGCGTAGATTAAGAATAAATTTTATTTTTTAATGTAATCTCCCATGACATCAATGCACTAAGTAAATCGTTTCAACAACAATTCCATGCTCTTAAAAAAATCTTTCTTCGGCTTGGCTTCAAAATATGCCTAAATTGCAGCCTCAGCCTTCACCCACTGAAATATGGCCTTTTTCAACTTTCAAAACAGGTAATAGCCGCGGGGGGCCATATCTGCATTCAACGAAGTATTATCGTTTTGTTCCAACCAGCAATTACCTGCTGCTTGCATAATTCCGACAGCATGCATGGTTGTATTAATTTTTTACGTCCTGTATCTTGAATATTGTGTCAGAATTTATACAGGGGTGCTACAAAAATGTCCCGTAGATTGTAGTGTTGCATTTTTTAAAGCCTATAATAAAAAGGCCGACAACTCCAAAATATCCTAGCCATCACCTTTTTTGTCGACTGAGAGCCCTTGAACATTTTTTATTGTTCTTCTCTTTTTCGCCCCCTTTCCATCGACTCACTTTTGAACAAAGGATCATATCAAAGAACCGTGGTTTCATCCCTCGTGAAAATTATCTTTAACACATCTACAGGGCCTTCTTTACAAAGTTCAACACGATATTGACACTGAACTGCTGAGAGAATTTTGCCACAAAAAAAGATGGCGATTTTCTTTCGTACATCCCATCCAACAGATCTTTAATGCTTTGAGAAGAAAGATTGTTTCGAGAACGGAATTTGATAACAGCTCGATACTCAATTTTCGTGAGTTCTGACATCGTGATAAACGAGTACCAGTAGTCAGAAAAGGTAAACTGTACTTTTGTAGGCTCCAAGCCTAATACGAGGTGAAGTCACATGTTATCAACGCGCTACCTGGCTCTATGTCCAGTCGGGAAGTTTTCGTGCTACCCTCGTAACACATTTTAAAATGTATCTGTAAGACACGCCCCATTATATAAGTAACGAAAATATAGATACCCGGATTTTTATGCAGAAAACTGAGAACTTTCACACTGTCACCTATTCATATTCCACACTAGTTATCTTCACAGTTAGCAAGCATTTGAGAAATTGTAATAAAATAATAACACTAATGTGAAAACAACTATCGGGTTTCTAAGCAAAAATAAATTATTGGTGACGATATTTGAAGCAATCATATTAAGATAACGTAACAAACTGATTACAAATCCTTATCAAGGTGCGTATCATAGAACGCTTAAGCTATTTTCTTTGTTACTTTTTAATGGTTATCCATATACTAAATGTTCTTGTTTTTATTTTTTTTTACATTAGAAAACAAAAAGAACCCTAGAAAGTAGTCTAAGCAGTTAAAGTATTCTCAAAAATCAGGTAAAAATTGGTGCCTGTACACTGCCTAACACTCCAACGTCCAACATTAACTTTTTATTTTTCGATTGTCCAGCAGTTATCTTTTCTTAATAAATTTGTATTCTACTTTTTCTTTGCAGAATCCTATCATTTGATTACCTATTATTCTGGGCCCAATCTTTAGTGAAAAACGTTGTTGAAAATACGTCTCGTAAATCGCGTGAGGACTGTCATGTGCCCAACGGTGAGTATTATGAAAATTAAGTATTCTATCCCTAGTAAAACAGCATTCATCTGTCATCACTTCATTAGTATGGAAGAAAGAAATCCGGGAGTTTCATTATTGCTGTTCACTATTCATCGGCAAAAGTTTTGTCTAGGAATGAAATCGTTTGGACCTAAACTCGGGACCCGCTGGAGGTGGTACGGGTACAAAAGAGATTCTCGTAGCGTTCTCCACACAGTTCAGTGACTAACCCCAACTTCTCGAGAAATTTCACGCGTACTAAGTCTTCTTCAACACGATTGATAATTTGCTCTTCGACCTCCAAATTTTTTGGTCAAACTGGTTCTGTCTCCCTCAACTTCTGTCCACAGCAGAAAACGTTTCGCGAAACGGTTGTCGACGCCCAGAAAAACGTTCAGCACACCGTCCTGCTGCAACTCTAGCATTGCCTCCACACTCCATAAACAAAATGCATGTCTTCATATTCTTCTATGGTGTATTCTAGCATTTTTTACAATGAAGTAACCTCATTTGACATACACCTGTTAAAAATTTTATGACTTAAGCGGCTTAAGCCAAAGCACCCTTATAAGTCAAACTGTCTATTATGTAACTTAACTCAGTTCACAGCTCCATAATGGCAACAATGGACAGAATAATCCTTGCGGTTCGGGTCCATAGAGCTTACAAAAGACAGTTTGACTTATAAGGGTGGTTTGCTTAAGCCATAAAAGTTTTACTAGGTGTATGTCAAATGAAGTTACTTTATGTATTACTGATAATACAAATTTAAATAATGCAATGTATTATTGAAAAACTGGCATTCATGCAGTTCCAAAACGGTGTGATATTACTTCAACAACTATTTTAAAAACATAGAATCAGTGACTTGGCTGAAAAATAATAAACTTTATTATTATTATTAAGTAATAAAGATACAGTGAGGACCTAGGTCCTATAAACTGTAAACTTAACAAAAAAAAACGGTAACGGAAAATGATTGGATAACTTATATATTTAAGTGTGGTAAGATAATGCAAAAAAAAAATAATAATAAGGAAAAATTAAAAAATTCATGCATTGGGAATGATAAATTCAAAAAATTGGTCTAAAGAGTTTAGACAGTAGTAGTATAGATAGCGGGTTACTGTGACACTTCGATGGCATGTCCTCTGTCCATGACCTTGGAAGGTCATTCTTGTGCTGAAGAAGTGCCCACCCCCGAGGGTCTTTCTACAAGACATGATCAACAATGACGTCATTGACCAGAGGCTTCTGAAATTAGGGCGTGGCTCCTCCAGGGGTGTGGTCGCAGGTGTAATCACAGGTGTTTTTGAGGTGTTTTTGAAAAAAGGTAAAAAACCGTTTTTTTTTTTTTCATCAGGTAAATTTTGTTTGGTGTGAAAAAAATTCCAATTGCTTTCATCGTGATTCGAACCGAGCGCGTCGGTTTGTCGATTTATCAATTCCATCTATGCGACTATCAAGCTAATGTGTTGAACGCTTGTAAAATTGTGATAGTGTAGAAAACGGACGGACACCACACCAGAATTCAGCGTTGATATCGTTTCGGCTAGCCTAGTCTCTCTTTTTTTTGCGGGAATTTAAGAGAAAATAATTTTTGAGAGAATTTAAGAGAAAATGAAAAAACACCAAGAGCTTTTTTTTGTTACACTTTTATTGTGTCATCGTGTTGTCTATAAAAAAATTACACATTGGATCTTATAAAAAAATTAACAAATAAACTTAAAAACTAATCATTCGCTATTGTTTCTTCCGAATCATAATCACTTTCTTCAGTGTGATTCGGAAGATTATATGTCTTTCTTATAGCTATCTTAACTTTATTAGGTAATACAGTTTTTTCTACTAGTCTACTCACATCCCCAACACTTAACTTTCCACTCGACAGTACACCACTAATGATACGCAGTTCACTTGTATAAACATAGCTACGCTTAAGTTTGTCTCTAAGTAAGTGAACTTTTGCAGCTTTTTCAGTTGTATTAGTCTTCATCCTCACTGCTTTTTAAAGTTTCACCACAAACCAAAAATTCACAAATCGAAATAGCCTTGTTGTCCTTTGGTGCGGGTGATAGATGGATTGATATTGAATTTATACAGAAACAGAAAAAAATCCTACAACTGTGACAATATTGCGTCCCAATTTTTTTTCTTAATTTCTGAAGTTGCTGCTACTGAAAAAAAAGAGTTTATTTTAATGCTTAACTAAACCTTAACATACCTACCCCATTAATTAAAATTAGATCTATTTATATACTTTAAAATACGTAACATGCTGGCATTGGCATTCATTGCAACAGTAAGATCTGCCATCTCGTCCATTATTACTTCAAATTCATTGGTGGATAAAAACAATGCCACACGGCATATCGGCAGATCAAATTCACTGATACACTTTGCTATAAAAGTTTTCCAGTCGCATTCTGCCACTTTACCCAAAAATATTACATTAAATTTTATATTACTACACCAATAGTAAAAATTTTCATATTTTAACATCTTATAATCCTCTTTACGTTGTTCATCAATTTGTTTTTTCTCAGTGTCAGTGGGATGGCCTTCAACAAATACGTCTACATCGCTATAACACGATGTACGTTTTATCAAAAATGCTGCGTAGCCTCCAGCCACGAAACATCTTCTATTCTCATTTTGCAACTTTTGAAGTTCTGCTTTAATTTCTTGAAGCACACCCTTGTTTTTAGGTGTTTGTAAAAAGTTACATTCATACAACGGTTTGTTTACAAACGTGATCGTTTTAGGCTGAAAATATATAATATAATTTGCTGAAATATTTAGTTTTTTTTTCTTTTTACAAATTAGTGTGTTCCTTTTCAACCAACAAAATTGAGATTGTATGAAGTAGATTATGTTAAAACAAAAAAAAGAAAAAAGTTTTATCTTTAACTCTATCGAAAGAAACCAACTTCATCAAGATAACCCCATGGCAATGTGTCTGTACTTAAATAATTCACCATGCGCTTATCATCATGAGGATTCAATGCAAGTTTATTTTGCTCGATTGTGTAAACCTCATGCTTTTCAGTTCTTATAGAATTTTGGAAAACAAATACTTTTTGATTATTGAATAAAGCATCATAATAATCATCAAATGTAATTTCCTTTAAAACCGACTTCTGAATTCCTTTAGCCTTTTTGATCACTCCAAAGTTTGATAGGAAATTTTCAATTTCTATTTGTGTAAATTGCTTATCATACAGCTTTTGAAGTTGTACATCTTTTTCCTGAGAAGTGGTTAATAGTCTTTGCAGGTACATTTTTGAACGTAATCCGATAAATTCAGTCATTATAGCACCATTATTTTCATCTTTCATTAACCCTAAAACTTTTTTGTTTGCTAATGGAATTTGGTAAGCATTATTAGGAGGATAATCAGAAGTATCAAACTTCTCAATATCCTCCTTGATGTGTTTGTATATATCATCAACAAAAAAATGGTAAATTAGACTATCAGTATCAGTGTATAATAATTTTCCATTTTGACCAAATTTTTGTTTTACGTAGCTATAATGGAAGTCATATAAAAATATTTTTGAAATGTCTAATATACACATACCCACGTAAATCGGTTTGTTAAAGTTAACTTTTAATTTTTTCATTTCTATTAGCACTACATTTTTGTCGATGATACTACAACTGTGGAAATTAGGTTGTGAAATATAGTAATTTGCTCCAAACCGTCCTGACCATTTAGTTACCAATTTGACTTCACGATATTTTTTTACATTTTCAATAGTTTTTCCAAAGACTGCGTTGTTCATTAATTTATAAAAATTCTTTTCGAATTCGTTTCGACTTTCTTTCCGTAAATTAGTATTTAAATCTATATATTCTTTTAACCACTTTGATTGCTTAAACTTCAAACATCTATGAATTTTTACAAGTCTTAAACCTAAACGAATGGCTTGCTGTAAATTTCTGTAATGAATCACATAATTTTTTTTGTCATATAAAGTAGTCAATAATTTTGGACATTCAGATTCTGAAATAGGTGGAACTAAATGTTCAGGACAAACTGGTAAGTCTTTGTGTGTCTCAAAGGTTTCTTTAGGGTAACAAAGATCAACTTCAAAAATGTACCCGTAGTCACTATCCTCAGGAATATTCATACAATTTTCATTGTAAAACTCAATATCTTACACCCATTGAAAATTACCGTATGGAAGATAACAACTCATTGCTGCACCGTAAAGATTATTGACATCAAAATACATAAGATATGAAGAGGGCTCATTGGGATTATAAGCGTTTCCCATGTATGGATTATTTGCTTTTCCATAACGATTGCTACACTGAGAAATTCCCCCTCGAATACCTTTTTCAATGAACATCACCATGTCAATGTCTGTAAGTAGTTCTAATTTAATTTTAGTTATTTTTAGCATACTATCAAATGCTAAACCAGGGGCAGTGTAGTAATGTAGACTATCGAGTTTGTATGTTTTTATACATGTCTTTCTAAAATTTTCAAAAATATCAGCCAGAAGTAAAACGTCTGTTTTGAGATATAACTCTGCATATTCTTGTAATGTTTTAATTTTGAAAGTATTCCAAACGTTGCATGCGTGTGCATAGTCTTCACCAGAGATTTCACAATTTTGAATTTTGCTATAAAACTTTTCCCTAGGTGGCAGACACGTATCTTGCAATTTTGCCCAACAATTAAGATATTCATATGGAAAAATTCCTTTACGCGCAACTAATTTAAAATGTGTTTCATTGGCATAAAACTGTCTAGTAATAATTTTTTGCTCATCATCTAGGTACGATGATAATCTATCAAGACTACTAGCCATAAACCTAAATGAATCAATAAATCTAAAATGAATATTAGTATTTTGGATATATTTTGTAAATGAAATGTATTTTTCTTTATTAATAGGGAGTAAATTCATCGGTCCTTCAATTTCTGTACTTAAAGCCTTAATAATGAAATGACTGTCATAGCCTGATAGATTATGGAAAACTACAGGCACCATATGAGAATCTTGGTATTGTAAATTACAAGACTTATGTGCAGCTCCTCGATATTGCCCTGTAAAGTGACAATGGTCCCTTACTTTTTGATCAGTTTTGCTAAATGGTTTATCACAAATATGACAATTATGAGAAAATAAGTAAGACTGATTTTCTGCATTAGATAAAGGTATCATGAGCACAGGATTTGAGAAAATGTTCTTCAATTCATGAGCTATTCGTTCAAGTTCATGAACGAACCACACCTGACAATCTTTCCCCGTGTACATACGAAATTTTGAAAGTGTATCGTTGTAAGAACATTTAATGTAATAAGCAAAGCTAAACGCTTCATGTTTTTGGTATTTTTTCGTTTTATTTGTATGTTTAACATCACTATAATTTACGAGAATACTTTCTATGTCCGCATATATTACAAAAGGTATTGATATTTTATTTTTAAATTTAGTAAACTGTATAATGTTTTCATTTTCTTTTGGAAGAATAATTTTTGATTTATTTAAACTTTTACAGTTAATTAAATGCCTGTCTAAGGTAGATTGAGAATTAAAGTGATTTAAACATCTTTCACAGTACAATTTTTTATTTTTAATATTTCCAACTTGATTATTTAATAATCGTGATAAATTTTTTATATAAGCATAATGGTAACGTGTTTTCTTTGAATTGTACTTACTAAGATGATATTCCTCATCATCACTACTACTACTACTACTACTACAACTGCTCCCACGTTCTTCACATTGAATCATCAATAAGTTAATTCGAGGTGAAAAGTCTGTCTTACTTAATGATAACGGTAAAATTTCGTTTTTTACAATAGTAAAAATATTGATAGCTAAATTGTTCATACTCTCAAACTTTGGAATATCTTTTAGTGCTATAGGAAAGTCGATATTGTTAAATTTGAGAACATTATTAAAGTTTGGATAAGACGAAATTCGATTTGCATTTTTGCCATCTTCAGCTGGAAATAAAGCTGCTACCACAGACCACAGAAAACAATAAGGGTCATTATTTTTTATATTTATAACTGCTTTCTTTTTTTGTATAAAGGGTGGTAAATTAACGTATGTTGAAATACCAACATTTATTGGACGATAGTGGTTAATATTAACTTTTAAAAATAAAATTTCACACAAACTCCAGCCACTATTTCGTTCTTGAAATTCCTCCAATTTTATTAGAATTTTGTCAATAACATACGTTTCATACCAATCCTTTAAATTGATATTATGATCTATTATTCGATTTTTTGTTGAAAAAAATTTAAAAGAAGTTTCAGCCGTTTGAGGTTTTATAAACAGTCCAGCAAAAACTACATTCACTTTCAATAAAGAGTTCTTTAGTTCTTTTCTATTTTTTATTGAAAAACTTCGAAATGATTTTTTTAGAAATTCTTTTGGATCTTTAATTTTTAAATTTGTTATAATTCCAGTTTTGATTCTACCGTTAAAACAAGCATCAACGTCTTGCCAAACTAAGCTTTTTGGTTTTCTATTCTTTCCCGTATTTAATTTGAGTTTAAAGTTTTCAAGATAATTTTTTAAAATGGCTAAATTTGATTCAACTTTTGAAAACCTATTAACACAACTAGCTTTGTTTTTAATACAGTTTTTTACCAATAAAATAGTTTTTTTCAAATATTGTATATGTTTTCTAACTTCTTCTTTTGTTTTAATTAATCTACTCACCAATTCAATTTTGCTAATGGTCTCGCTTGTTAGGGTGTCAATGTTCTTCTGGCTCATTGTAGTACTATAATAATAATATAAAAAATAAATGATAGGTCCAAAGTAGATAATAGTTGTTGGTACTTACATTGTGGCTGGTGCTGTTGCTGTCAAGGCTTGTGGTGATGAAGACGATGGCTGTGATGAACTCAATCACTTATTTATACTAAAGAAACACGCATTTTTTCTCTCCCACCATTGGTGGTTAGCAACATTAGCACAAAAAAAAATAGCAAAGTCAGCAGAAATTTGTTTTGCATACAAATTTAAAAAAAAAATCGATCACGCGGTCAGCACAAGTTTATTACTAAAATTACGTGGTCAGCAGAAATTTATCTTTAGGGGGGGGTTGCATTGCAACAATTTGCTTCAAAACTACGTCAAAATCGTGTATATAAAAAGGAATCAGAATTGTGATCAAAATCACAGTTTTTCAACATGGCTACAACACCAAGCACAATAGTCATCTTCAGTGACGATAAAGACAACTTCCCTATTAAGCACGCTGCTGTGGTGATGAAACAGCTTTTCCAGTAAGTTTTGTTTTGTCTTTTTTTTCTTTTTTTCATTTCTTTTTTTCTTTTCAGATACGGTGTAAAAAGCATCAAAACCAAAGGAGATAAAATCTTTGTCAATCTTTCGTATTGCCCAAAGGCAATCACTTTAAAGAAAAAATTTGGCACGTTACCAATTAGATATATGCGGACCCATTTGGAGAGTGACGACGAATTCAATATTTTGGAAAAAGTTGTTCGTCGCTACAAGTTCAATTTGATCGATGATGGTCCTGAAGACCTTGCCATTGAGGCGAATAAAAAGAGAAGACTATATTTAGAACCTCCCCAAATAGAAGAAGAAGAAGAAGAAGAAGAAGAGGAAGAAGAGGAGGAGAAGGAAGAGCCAAAATCATCGAAAGCAAAAACAAAAAAAACTATTAAAAAAAAAATTGTTGAGGAAGATGAAGAAGAAGAAGACGAAGAGGATCAGCCATCGTCTAAAACACGAACAAAACACATGTCACAAGACGCGCAAGAATTTGAATAAAAAAGTGCAATGTAAATGTTGTTTTTTATTTTCTACAATGCGTATACCAATTATACAAATTAAAAGTATTTTCTAGTGTACAATTTAAATGATTGTGCAAGTGCTGCTGACAGTGATGCGATTTAAAAATATTCTTTAAATCTTCTAGTCGAAGACATGCTTCTTCGTCCAAATCGATGATTTGCGTTTCCAAAAGTATTTCACTTAACCATGCTTTTTTTTCGCTTCCTTTGACAGCTACACCAATTTCATCATCTTCATTATTGGTGTTGTTCAATATAAAGGTTTTCAGGAAGTTTGAAATTTGTGCGTAATTGAGCGTAGAGTTCCAGGTTGCGTCGAATTCTAATCCATGTAAATTGTTGGTTAACCACTTGCACTGATTTACAAATTTGTAATCACACAATTTCAAATCAATAGGCATTTTAATTTCTGCATGTTGATAGTTGCCATATTTAGTATTTAATATTGTTATTTCCTTGCACAAGAAATAGCCACAACCATTTTTAAAGCCTTCTACATCAACAATAAACATTTTTTGTTTTATACTTTTTTCACAACACCGGTAAGAGGTTCGTATTCAACAAACTGCTCGTGCAAGACTAGGCAAAAAGCAGAAGTGTTTGCAGGTACATCCGAAATTGTCTCAAATTCCAATCGCGCATCCACCGTTCCTTGTTTGATTGTGTCATTTTGATAAGAACAATCTATTACAATTAAAGGTGCAGTAGATTTATATTTAAACGGATCCAGTAAGGGTTCACAAATCTGTTTATTATAATAAGATTGCTGAAATCGAGCATACATACTGTAGGCTAAAGCGTACTTACTATTTCTAAAGTTTAAATTCAAATTTTCATAGGGGTAGGATTGTGAGTTTAGATAGAGCTTGATGTTTTTCAAATTGCAGTGATCAAATTTAGATGCATCTTTTGTCAAATTATTGTTTCTATCTGTTTGAAATCCAAAAATTACAAAACGTGGTTTTTCCAAAAATGTCGATGATTTCAACACCCAAGTGAAGGAATGAGTTTCCGGTAGTTGTGGATATCTAAATAATTCCCATCTCCTGTAAGCTATTTCAAGTGGTATATTTTTTTCTGTCGTCTCAAGTAATTTAAGTTTTTCGTAATCCGATACTGTGGTATGTGGAATTGACCAAGTAATTTTCAAATTTGTAATTTTACCCTTCTCTAATCCAGTCTTCTCAATTGTGGCATTTAGATCATCAGCTGTTCTACGTAATACGAGTTCTTGTCGACAATTTACTATGATCTTTTTGAAATCTTCCGCAAATCCTAAGATTGATGAAAGAGGATAGCACACATCAAATTCTCCTGTAGCTGCATTGTTGATATTTTCATTATCAAAGGGAACCCAACTTGCAAACATCAAAGCTGTACTTTCACTGGGCGTATATGATACGTATCCCTTCATACTAGTAGTAATACCAGGATTTATTACTCTGTCAATTGTAATACCTCCTAATTCATATCGAATTTCTTCAAATAGGAATGCGATAAAATTATTGATCAATTGAACTTTAGTTGAAACACCAGACTCGTCGTATTTTAACAGTTTCCCTTGAATACGTAATTCACTTAATCCAGGTATCGTTATTAAGTCCTGTTGCTGGATAACAAGTCGACATTCATCATTATGATTTAATTCACCGGTTGTGTAAGATTTGTAGGAACGAAATTGAAAATTTGTTATAGCACTGTCCACATTCACTTTTCCTTTAACGTTTAAAAAATCCATTATTGTTTGTTGTTGTTGCACTCTCTAACACGTAAACCAAGCGATTTTAAAAACAATTTATTTTCGGGTGTTAACTCTACACGATTTGTAGCGTTAATGGAGTTTTTTCTCCAAAGGTGACTGTTTATATCCTGAAATGCATTGGAAGAATTTCGACTTTCCTGATAAGACACATTAAATCTAGCAACCATTATGAAATGATTTTTCGTAAATGCAATGTTGCAGTGATCACTTCTTTTCTAAAATTAATCGGGTTACCGGTCTCATCCACTATTTTAAGCGAAATATTATTAATTATATGTGTATTAATGGGGAGGTAAATTACATTACTCGGACTTTCAATGATTCTATAACCGGGTGGAACTTTCGGATGAAAGGCATGAATCGTGTGCACTGTATCTCCATTCCTATACGAGTTAGTTACAATATTACATTCGATCCTAACGACATTTACACGCATAATGTCAACAGGAAAATCAGAGAAATGCATCTGATTGGGTGTTAGTATCCTCCTTTCAAATCCTAGTAGCTGCCCGATAGAATTCTTTTTAGAAAAATCAATTTCTTTATTACACTTTATTTCACATTTGAGGGTATTAAAATTGGCTTTCAAATGTAGCTGTATTTTGTCCTTTTCTTCTTTTCGTCCAGCAAACAGTAATTCCAAATATTCGCTAATATCTGCTACTTCATAACAACCTTCAGGAATAATAACAACTTTTTTTTTATCATAATGAAACTTATTATTTTTGTCATCAATATTTGGTATAGCATTATGTACACTAAAATTTATTAATCCAATTTCATAAACACTGTTCTCATCCAAAACAATTGGAAGAGTAAATTCAGCCGATAAGTTAGCAGGCTCTCTACCGCTCAGAAGAAAATAACTTGACATAATGGAAATGCGGTTGTTTTATGATAGGTCGCTGAAATCAAACTGCAGACAGATAAGATATGTATTTTATTATATATTTTGTTTTTTCAAAAAATACAAACACAGATGACCACAATTAAATGTATCGAACTGTTGAAAACGTTCGTGGTTGTAATAGATTTCACAAGGTCCTTTTGAATTGAAATAATTTATTGCTTCTTGAGGTGGTTTTAAGTTACCAAAACTATCAAAATATAGAATAATATTACCTCGTTTCTTATAGGCAGTCCAATGTGTTCCAGGTCCCAAATCTATATCCAAATTAATCACACCACTTTCGTTCTGGTGAATCTTTTTAGGAAAGTCATCGCGTGAAAATACACCTCGAAAATATGATATTTTAAATAATTTCGCAAATTTTTCAATATCTACATTTGTGAGAGGTCTATTAGGTATTTTGTCTACTACTCTAGAATCGTCTAATCTAAAAAAAGACCCAAACCCTTTTTGTATGGTTTTAAAAAAAGACCTTTTCCCATTGCAATGGACTCCATTGTTTTGTTGTGTCGTTGAGCTTCATCCAATTGTTGTCTAGCAGCCTTGGCAGAATTAATCGCCTTGGCAATTCCTGCAGCCCCTCCTGATAAAGCCCCTAAAGCACTGAGACCGGCAAATATGGGAATTAAAGGTAATATTCCACCAGTCTTTGGTACTTTTATGATACGTGTAGGTTTTATTTTTCCTTTCTGTTTTTTTGCTGTTTTTAATGCTATCGAAATGGCATCATTGAGTGTTTTTACTTTATTTGAACGAAAACTTTTCTTTATTGCCTTTGTAATATTTGGAAAATTAATCTTTCTCTTTGATTTAACATTTTTCTTTTTCTTCACCTTTTTTACCACACGTTGTTTTAAGTTATTTGCTTTTTTCATGATACTATCTCAACAACACTATCGTAATGACTAAGTGCTATGTCCTAGGCTGTAGTATTTAAGCAATTTTCAACTTCTTCAAATGTCGATCTTCATCATCATCATCATCACGATGATGCTCATCTTCCAATTTACGCTTATTTCCATTTTTTCTCCTTCTTTTCGCAACAAGCTTAACGCGAGGTGTGTCAGGTTGCGTTAATTCGATTAGTTTTATTTTTTTATTGGTGACTTCTTCACCTGCAGCTTCATTTGATTTTCGTTTTTCAGGTCTTCGTAAGTCCACTACATCTTTTACTGCTGCGTCATCAATTATCATATTCTCAACAAAATTATCTGTTCTTTTTTCTTTCTTTGACGTAGACTTTTTGGTTTTTGTAGGTTTGTTGATATGTTTTTCATTCTCATTGGATTTATATTTTGAGATAATTTTTAAGCAGTTTTCAATATTATCCCTTGCTTTACTCAATACTTTCTCACACTGATTCAGCGTCTGATTGCATCCTTTTCTTTTTTGACCTGTTAAACCCATTCCAAATTTTAGCTTAGTTTTCATCGCTCCTGCTACACCTAATGCTGCAGTTTTTTCCATCCATGAAGCGTTTTTTGCATGGAATCGTTGAAGAGCTTTCTCAGCCAGAATCTTATCAGCTACGTGCCTTTCATTCAAATCTTTTGTTTTCGAATAAGCAATGTCATGGTACTTACAAGCGGCATCAAGTCCATTAATACCTTTATCCCCTCTTTTTAGGAGTTGCTCAAGTTTCGTGTTAGGTCCACAGAACTGATAACCTGGTATATGCAATTCGTAAGGTATAGCATATAACGTTTTATCTAAAATTCCACTACCTCGTTGATGATTCATTTTATGTAGAGAGCGAGAGAAGTCTTTATCACTGTAAAGTTGATATAAAACTATTGCTTAAATAACAGAAATTTGTTTATTTATACTCACTTGATACGTTTACTTGTTATGAATAACATGAAAGTAGTGAAACAAAAAGTATCATTAAAAGTTGAAAATAATGAGTTAGCCAAAGAGAATAGTTTAAAGCATGGCATATTATTTCCTTCAACTGTGAGGTGTTTAGTGATTGGACCATCTAACTGTGGTAAAACAAACGTCATCATTACTTTAATAGAACATCCTAATGGTTTGAAATTTAAAAATGTGTACATTTATTCAAAGAGTCTGTATCAACCAAAGTACGTTTATTTGGAAAACTTATTAAAACCTATTAAAGGAATCGGTTATTACACATTCAACAACGGTGATGATATTATGAACCCATCTAATATTAATTCAAATTCGATTTTTATATTTGATGATGTAGCTTGTGACAAGCAAGATGTAATACGAGAATATTTTAGTATGGGAAGACACAATCATATAGACTGTTTTTATCTTTGTCAAACATATGCTAAAATTCCGAAACATCTTTTACGAGATAATGCAAACGCTTTCATTTTATTTAAACAAGACCAACTCAACCTGAAGCACTTATACAACGACCACATTGGAACAGATATGTCATATGATCAATTTCGAAAAATGTGTTCCCTTTGCTGGAAAGAGCCCTATGGATTTTTATCTATATTTAAAGATAATGACATTGATAAAGGTCGATACAGGAAAGGATTTGATCACTATATATACATCGAGTAGGTAGCTTGTCTTGAACAGATCGGGAACAGATACCGGTTTGAGCTGTTCCAAACCTGTTCTAGATCTGTTTGAATACCTCATTCATCTGTTTGTTGATCCGTTTCCATACCCGATCTGTAGCTGCTTCAACGTAAAAGATTCTGGTGTCGTGTATGTATAAACGAATGCCAACCTAAGTGTAACTTATTTTCTTTTGATCATCAATTAGGTGATAAAAGTGTAAAAGAATAATCACAGCATGGATAAAGTGAAAGAACTGAAACGAAGACTTATCGAAAAACGTAGAATTATTAAAAATAAGTTAAATGCTTTAAAACAGGGTGAATATTTACAAGAAAGTATGTTATTGCCAATTACAAGACATTTAAAAAATATTGAAGATATTGTGAGTAATGAAAAACGACCAAATCAAAAAACAGAAAACGTTTTATCAACTTTAAAAAAAATAAAAGTAGAAGAACCATTAAAACCTTCAACTTCCAAACAAGAGTCAGTAAATTTTTTACAAGATGATGAGGTATTTACAAATGAAAATAATTATGAGGAAAATCTTGCGACTGAGGAAGACGGAAGATTATCCATAGCTTCGGTTTCTGAATTAGTGAATCCGAAAGCATTGGATGAATATTTAGAACAATACAAACCTTTACCTAGGAAGTATATTCAGCAGATGCTAACGGATACGGAAGATATATTTGATCATAAATATGGTGTTAGGCATGATATGGAGAGTGAAAAATTTTCAATTGGTAATTCGGAGTTATTTATTGAGGATTCTGATCTAATTGTACAAAAGAAAAAGTATAAAGGAACACAAGGATTATATGAGTTGTTATTCAAAAAGGAACCACATTCCTACACAGAGAATGATTTAAAGACGTATAAAGAGATTTTGAAAAAGACCAATGCACATAAACGGTATTATCAAGCTAATCAACAAGTGGATGGTAGCAAATTACAGAAGTATAAAAGAATTATTGCACCTTTGCTGACACCGAGTCGTGACAAGTTATCCTCAAGTGGAGGTGGATTATTAAAGAAAGTTGAAAATAATTCTATCGATTACGTTTATTGGGATGATCCAAATGAATTAGTTGACCGAATGCGTTTATTGATAGCATCTGAGCAAGCAGGAAATTTAAATCACAGAAACGAAATTATTAGCATCATTGAAGAGTTAAGAGAAGCAAATATTATTAAATAAATAAATAGCAAAATGGCTGCACGCAAAGAGATTAGCGATGTGAAAAAACAAATTGTAAATGAAATACATAAACCAGCCAGAATTAATTTTAAAAGACGCAGAGTTATCATAAAATCATTAAATGATTTATTTCAATCTCGTAGAGATGATTCCTTATTCAAAAGAGAATAACAATTTTAAGTACATTCTAGTTGTTATTAATTGTTTTAGCAAGTTTGTTTGGGCTTTGCCCTTGAAATCAAAAACAGGCGAAGAGGTTACAAAGAACATGGAAAAAATCCTTCAAGAACAACACCCCAAAAACCTTCAAACTGATATGGG